CGGCGTCGCGAACCGTCTGCGCCTCCGCGCGGCCGCTGCCCTGCACCGACCCGGCCTGTCTGTCCACGGCTGCCCTCACGCGCCGCAGGAAGCGACCCGGAGCAGAGAAATGGCCGCCAGGCGGTGGCCGGAAGCCCCGCCCACGCCGTTTTTCGCAGGGAGACACCCTCCTGGCTTCTCATTGGCTCCGCGCCGCGCCGCGCCGCGCAGGGGCTTCTGGGTGCTGTAGTTTCCAGCACTGCTCGGCCGCTGCCCTGCACCGACCCGGCCTGTCTGTCCACGGCTGCCCTCACGCGCCGCAGGAAGCGACCCGAAGCAGAGAAATGGCCGCCAGGCGGTGGCCGGAAGCCCCGCCCACGCCGTTTTTCGCAGGGAGACACCTCCTCCTGGCTTCTCATTGGCTCCGCGCCGCGCCGCGCCGCGCAGGGGCTTCTGGGTGCTGTAGTTTCCAGCACTGCTCGGGACGCCTATGCCGGGGGAACGCCGGGGGCTTAGGGGCGCCAAGCTGGAAGAAGCCTGGCCAAGGCCCTTTCTCGGGGTCAGAGGTCGTGCCCAGAACGCACGCGGGGGAGGCAGAGGGCGCCGGCGCGAGAACGGCCCCTCCGGGGAGCCTCGACGTCGCGTGTGCACGGTGTCGCCTGCAGCCCGGCCTGGCGCGTCCTAGCCCCGGCGGTCACTCCTGGGGTCATCGAGTTGCTGTGGCCGGGGACGCCCCGTTTCTGGCACTGCGACGCCCGCGCTTACCCGCGAGGTCTCTGCGCCCAGGTCCGGCGTGGAGTGCAGGTGCCAAAGCCTTAAAAACGTGCCAACTAGAACTTTTAACTGACATACAAACACTCGCAGGTGGGAAGTAAATCACGTCGTCGGGCGCGCGCGTGACTGCCGCCCGCGGCGTCCTGCGTGTCCGGTCCGCCAGCCTGTGGCCCCGGGACACGCAGGCGTGCGGGGCGCAGCCGTCGCTAGCTCGGCCTCGTTGCCTAACGCGTCCTGCACGGCCTGCCGTTACTTCGCCTCACCCCGCGTCGAGGATTGACGCTGTGGGAGCAGCCTAGTCCAGGCGCGTCTCCAACACGGTCCAGCATGGGCGGGTCACCCGCCTGGGGACGGGGCGGCCGCGGGAAGCCGCTGCCTGCGCGTCAGCGTGTGGGGCCTGAGACTCCCTGCTCGGCCCCGTCGGGACGGCACCGAAGCAGGGCGCTTCGTCGTTGGGCAGCGGAAAGGACTTGGGCCCAGGGGCCACGTTTCCCCGAGTGACGGGAGGAGACGTGCCACGATGACTTCACGTCAGTTACCAACGCTCAGACCCCGTCGCCCGCCCGACGACCCTCCGCAGCGGGCTCGGGGAGCCCGCGGACTACATTACCCAGCCGGCCTTGCGTCGACGCAGCCAATGAGCAACCGGAAGCGCGTTTCCGGCGACCCGAGGGGCGGCACTTCCGGCGCCTTCCTAGTGGCGGTCATTTTGGCTTCTGTGGAAGGACTTTCAGTGGACGTCCAGCCGCGCCCGGCGGCCGGGAGGCGGCGACGCCGTCGGGGCCGCGCC